AAAGTTTTCATTTTTCTTTTTTAATTGACATACTGCATATTACGCTCTCATATATTTTTATATCCTACAGTTTAATGATTGCATATTAATAAATAAATTAACATTCACATTCTCATCATTATTATTATTATTATTATTATTATTATTATTATTTTCATAAAAGAATTGTAAATGATAATCAAACGAAATAATAATCGAAAGGGTTGTATGTTGTAAATAGAATTTGGTTTTACATTTGTCTCTTATGATTTTTAATGAACATTAACAAAATCGTAGTTTGATTGTTCACCCCATCAAGTTAAATTCTCTTCTACAATTACATCTCCGACCTGGATTCGTGGTTTGCGTTTAAAATCATGATGAAAGCCGACACAATGAGACCACAATGGCTGATGAGATGATATTGAGCTTTACACCCAAGTAGAAGAATAAGAAAAATAAGAATAATAATAAGAAGAAGAAGCGCCTTTGGGCATACAAAAGCCAACCCAACAAAACAGTCGGTTCTCAGCAGACGTACGCGTACAATCTTGTGGTAAGTTGTAAATTTAGTACTTTTGCCACGATGTCATGAATATATTTATTGAACACACGCGATACGTTACTTTATTACACGAGAGAAATTGCGTGATCTTCATTCGCATAATAATCTTCTTTTTATTCGTTGCAATTCATCGGCACCATAGATTTGTTTCATCAATCATTTATCTTCTATCTAACTATCTTTATATTTTTTTTTTCTTTTTTACCTTAACTCTCTTTTTTAAGATTTGAATATCAATGGATTTATCCCATAAATAAATAAATGTGACGCACACGAGATAAATTCGATTGACGAACGTAAATTCCTAGATTGATGAAGAAAAATAACAATAATTAATGAAAGGAAAAATAAATAAACAGGATGATACGTCAAGGAAGTAGCATTCACAGATGTAGAAAGATGCATGCCTTAGCTTGTTTGTAATACCTTCGATTAGCAACAGTTCGAGATCAGGTACGAGTAATTATCATCATAGAAAATCACACAGTTCTACGAGCTTAACTGTATCGGCAATTTGAAGGAATTAAATGGCAACCACCAAAGGAAACCGAGAGGATAACGAGGAGGCAGTTGGTGGATGGTAGATGCTAGAGAAACGTATTTTACTTTACTTTACTTTCATAAGGTTTCTGCATTCCTATCTGTCGGAGGATCGGTGCTGTTCGATAACACGCCGATAATTCAGGACAAACAACCCGAACAATACGTATTAGTCGTGCAAACAGGAGTTAACTCTGCTTGCAGCATGCTTACTACTACTACTACTACTACTAGGAACACTACCACGACCACCAGCTCTTATATAGGTACCAAGAAGTGTACAAGATCGAGATCCTATCTTTCCTAGCCTGAAACTATCTCTTGATATCGATTCTTAATGGTTTTTCCATTCGGCATAGATCAAACGATCGAAAATGTTAATCCGTAAAATTATTGCTTCCGAATAAACCTAACTTCACTTATTTACAATTATTATTACGCTTCTATGAAAATAAAATATAAATCAAATTCGTTGCAAATTTATACAATGTTTATTCTCATAAAATCATAAAGTTTCGCGTAATATCAGATGTATAATAATCCTATCATGATTTTTATAAAGGGTATGCATACGAATCGTATGCAACCCAATATCTTTGACAATTCTTCTTCTTCTTTAGTATCCAACAAAAGTATGATGAGAATACGCATCGAATTAAATTCACGCGTAGTTAATAAAATGAAAATAAGAAGCGAGATGATTTAAACAAAATAAAAGAAACAACAAAAATTGCGGTATTCGAAGTAAGAGGATACCGTTCGAGATACCGGAAGACTTGACACTACCATGATAAAAAAGACACACTATATATATGTATGAGTGACTCGACAGTCTTACTATACTGTACCATATACCAAGAAACGATACATAAACCAAGTATCTCGGCATCGTTTCTGCGGCCAAGTTGAAACGAGACGTAAGATGTTCAAAGAAAATAACAGAACCGAGAAGAAAAAGTAAGAAATTAAAGAAGAAGAATAAGAAGAAGAAGAAGAGAAAAAGATCCGCAAAAGAGAAACGAAATCTGCCTACGGTTTTCTTCTTTTCCCTCTGCTCAACCCCTAACCCCACCCCCTTCCACCTCCCACCTTCTAACCACCAACCGCATCACAAAGTTGATCCTTGCGGTACAATGAAAGGAATAACAAAAGGGGCTTACTTCCCTTTAGGCTTTAAAAAAGTTTCATTATCCAGCGAACAATATTTGCAGCATCCTTTCGTTTTGCACATATATTAAATAATAATAATAATAATAATAATGATGAGGATGATGATGATGATATATGGTAACCTTAACGCGTATTCGAAAGATAATTAATCGTAATTTTGTTTATTTTTATCCAAATTATTAATTTTTTTGTATCAATCCGCGTATATAATAGATTAGTATATTTTTTTATAAGATAAAGTATAAAAAGAAGGGGGGAGGGAAAAAAAAGAACTAACGTTTCGATTTCAATTTAAAATCGAGAAAGTGGAATTTGACGTATGATTCATTCGCCTTCTCTTTCGCAGTGTAATATTTATCGGTTAAAAAAAAAAAGAAAGAAAGAAAAAAAAGAGACAGGGAAACTCGGAACGGTAGTTGTCAGACGTAATTTTATGTTTAGCAAGAAAATTGATGTTTCCAAGTCGGGCTGATACCTTTCTCCTTTACAAAACACGCTCAACATCGTATCATATTATATTATATTATATTATTCGTTCTTACTTTCAATCTAACTAAAAAACTATCACACTATCCCTAAATGTGTTAAATAAAAAATAAACGTGATTGATAAATTCGCTTTTTCACTTTTTTTTTTGTTCCCAAAGATTACCTCTAAAAAAAAAAATTAAAAAAGAAAACAATCGAATAAAGAAAGGGAAGTTTATAAAAAAAATTTGTGTTCTTTCAAATCGACGTGTAACAAACGTATAAACTTAAAGCAAAAAAAACGCGTTAACAATCGATAAATTTACACTTCGAGTGGAAGTTTGCAACGCCTCCTCTTCTTACGAGGGATCCATGATAATCCCGTTAAACGTTAGGTCCCGGCATTTGATTTGAAATTCCTTTTGATTATGTTCCCATACATTCTTCTTTTGTATCGGTGTGCTAGGTATATATGTAAATACAATATCTTTCTATATAAAAGATATTCTGTGTACATAGATAGAAATACATATACATATATATATATATATATATATGTATATATAATATGTATGTGTGTATTTATGTATGTACCGCAATCCGTGTAGTGCATAATGAAGGAGCAGGTATGAACGACGACGAGGTGGATGGCCGTTACATCATTTATCTCGCGGAAATCGTAGACTTGCATCAAAATAAATAACACGCGTTTGCTAGTACATACTTTATCCAATAACACGAGCTACGCGTAGTGTATACGAATATCATCGGTATTCCTTTAACCCCTTGGCTAATGAATCTTTCTACTTTTAAAGGGTGGAAGAGGAAGGGGAACAAAAAACACCCCATTTCCTACTTTCCCTCAAAAGAAACAAATAAGAAAAAGGAAAGATAAAAAGGTAGAATTTTACAAAGTTGAAAAGTATTCTGCTAGCCCCCACCCCATGATTCGATTGGCTAAATGAAATGGTGTATAATATACACCATGAATCGTTTTATTTATATTTATCCTTGGATGCACGCTCGTGCGTACCTGCTGAGAGATAAGCGGCATTTCCTGCACTCCCTATTTCAGATTAGCACATCAATGTAATCCAATTTGACGTTAGATGTTTCTTCTTTTTACCCGTTTATGAAAGGGAATGGATAAAGAAGATAGAACGATGGGAGTAATTTTTTTTTTTTTTCAACACTTGTAACAGCAGTAGCAACAGCAGTAACAGCAGCAGCAGCAGGCCAGAGAGCAAGAAAGTGAATGAGCGCATATACACGGCTACCGCGATTACGTTACCTATCCTCACTCAACAACCATTATTTATAAGCTATTCTCACGTTGATGAAGAAAACCAAGTGTAATCCTTAATACGGTTAAATGATCCATTTAACATTTTTTCACGCAATCTCGTGAACTTACCTGAAACAGAAATAAAAAACATACATACATACATACATAGAAACGATAAATAATATTTGTCGGTTGTTATTTATTCTATTAAAAAAGAAAAGAAAAAAGAAAAAGAAAAAAATTGTTATTGTAATATAATTATTATATAATATTGTATAATCCGCGCAAAATTATATTACGATATAAATACAATACAAATAAGACTTATATCATTTTTATTGATAATACGGTGAGTTATTTTCTTCATGTGCAAAAGATAATTTTAAAAAAGCCCGCCCGTGTTGGCAGCGCACCAATCGCAACAACTATTCGAACATTTGCCTATCGTAACGCTTCTAACAGTCATCACGTGTTCACAGTCTCACGTTTCTACAAGTTTCTACAATCTTTTACGGTACACAAGTAATATTTATAATTCACATTTTTATTGCACTTTGGTGATAAATAAAAAGAATAAAACAACAATAATTGTGATCATCTGAAAAAAACAAGGTAAACGTTTAAACAAACTTATCCTACTCGTTTAAGATTCTTCGCATCAATCCTTCATTGCATACCCCCATTCCATTCCATTCCATCTTCTGCGCGTGTCTGACTCTAATATCGATGCGCTTGCTAACTTTAACTATAAGGTCGAGCACGCGTATCAGAATTTTAACGAACGAATCCAAAGTTCATCATCGTAATAAAATACGCGGGCTTTTTTGAAAACAAATCAATTGGCAAGAGAGAACAATTTCTTTCTTCTTTTTCAAGATTAATTCGAAATAAATTTCAATTGGGAATAATCGTGCATTAAAATTGGATCAACATTGATTTCTATACATATATACACCTGGATTTTAATTAATGGAATATTTTCCGTGTATATTTCTTTGATATACAGATAAAAAATATATTATTTATTATAATAATCTGGAGTGTTTGATGATAAGACCGTGTCTGTCAACTCTGTTTATCCTTTTCGATTAAATTCAACTTTCGATCGAAAGCATAAAAGAGAGTACTCGTTAACCTTGACATTTCTACGGGAACGGTCACGTTCTACCTCTCTCTTTTGTCACGTTTATTTTCGAAAGGCTGACTATATTCTTTATATACTTGCTAATGTGGATAAGAGGAAAATAATATGAGAAAAAAGAAAAAGAAACTTGTTTTTTTCGAATTCTTCGCGAATTTTTCTTTCTTAAATAAAATATATGCACCGAAGTTTAAGAAGTAACGCTAATAATGCATAGTACGCGTATCCGTCGAGTTACTGAACCAAATTGCAGGTGCATGTATCTCTTATCTCGGTCATGGTGAAATAAGTGAAGAGAAGCGTGGAAATACCATTACTACTAAAACCCCTATGGAAATACGAGCTTGCTGTTTTCGAAATTTTCAGTCGTTAAACGATAAACCTAAGAGAGACGAGGGGAACCTAACAGAAAGAAGAAACACACTCTGAGAGGATGCATACTTCTTTGAAATAACTTGATTCCCTTAAAAGGTTCTTCAAGGAATGATAACCAAAAGACCGAGAATCGTCTTAAAGGCGTTTCTTCTTACCAAGATAGAAGGTTTTACAAAAAGGGGAGGATTTTTTCTAAGGGACAAACCGCTTGCTTCTGAGGTAAAGAATATTCTTTTCATCCTACAATTTTTTGTATCCTTTTATATTGAATGCATTTAGAAAAATTAATCAAATCAAAATCTCAATTTGTTCGAATTTATTTTTACGAATAATAAAACACAATTGTTTAGATATTATTTGAAAAAATATATTGATATTGAATAATATATATTATAACAGCATAAAAAATAACTAAACGTTAAAGCATAAATTCGGAAAAATATAAAAAATATTTCGTTGATATACACACATATCCTGCTGTGAAATTTCATAGCTTAAGATAATTTCGAGGACGATATTCTCTTCTCCATAGTGATCCCTTTATTCTCCTATGCACCGTTATGCTCGACCGAACACCACGTGCCAACGTGGATAAGCTTTGCCAAGGTGTGAATAAAAAAAAGTTTCATGTAACCTTACCAATCCACCATTAAACGAATTTATCTCTTTGTCCATGACAATGATGAATAATTAAATTAATTATCTTAATATATGTATTCCTAGGTATTAACAAATTATCTATTACAAACGAAGGAACCACCATGGACTTCGTATTTTGTTAAATACGCTGATGTGGTGAACGATCAGAGAGGCATGTCACACTTCAATTGGTTTCTGGGTAATAGTAATTATCATGTATTGAGAACTGGCTGTTTTCCATATATCAAATATCACTGCACAAAACGACCAAAGCAGGACCTAAGTACCGACGACAAATTCTTCAAGGCAATCAAGATACTTAACCTTGGTAAAGCCAAGATTTGTAGTATACTTACAGTATTTAAATACTCGTAGACCCTCCTGTATTCTCTCTTGATATATCTGTGCACCAATTCAAATGGAAAATATCATTCAAGTTAATTAACATTACAGTTTACAAATCTTTCCAAGTTTCCTAACTAACCTGTTTCTCTTATCTTTTATTTTATTTTCTTTTCTTATTGATTGTCATTCTACTTGTTCGATTTAAAGGTATCCCTACTTTGATGTACGGATTAGCTGCAACTTTTTTGATACGACATCAAGAGACTGTAAAAACGTCACGAGGAAATATCACCATTTACTTTTTATTACCGGAAGATAAAGGTTCATTATACTGATACGAATCATTCAAACATTTTCGTACATCTATGCGTTAACAATAATCTAAATAAATTCACGTATGTATTTGTGTATGATATTAAATATAATGTGATAATATAATATATATATATATATATATATATTCTTAATATTTAATTCAATTACTTTAACTATCCTTAAAAAACCTAACCCGAGAATGTTATTATCCGAATAATAATCGAATTGATTGAAATTCGTTAAAGCAATTACCGGTCACGATTCGATCTTGGCCGGTTAACCAAGGTCCATACTTTACTAGTGACAACTAACAAGACTTGTCGAGGGTGTGCCAATAATGTAAATCCTATTAATACTGCCAGAGGGCAAATGCGTTAAAGTAACTAACGTGCAAATCAACTAACTTATCATTAACATAGCTTTCTAATTAGCTACTCGTGTTAACCCTGGAACTAACTTAACTCTTCTGTCTGTCCTTATCGTAATAAAAAGGATTTCTCATTTTCGAACGTTGACAGTTCAACGGCGAAAGATTAATGATCTCGAGAAACCGCCCCTTTTCACCCCTTTCGATTTTCTTATGCACGATAATCTATATTAATTATATACAACGTTAAATAACGGATCATTGTTCTTTTTTTTTTTTTATTTTTAATTCTTATATTTACTTATCAAACAAAATGTATATTTGCAAAACAACTGCAGAGATACAACACATCACGGAAAATGCGTGTGGGTTGTACGAATATTCAACGAGATAAAACACCTACGCATATTCGTTTCTATTCAAATACGCTAATGGCAATTCTATTGGATTACTCTGTGTGTGTGTGTGTGTGTGTGTGTGTGGAAAGTTCTTAATGATTTATTTAAATTCATAAATTCGATTAACATTTTTAATATAAAGATCATAAATATAGATACTTTTCCATAAATCGGCTAAATTTTCAAACATGGCCGCGAAACATTTCAAATTATAGGTTAGGTTAACCGATGGCGCCAATTTTTAGGATTAAATTCGATTTATATTCAAAATATCGAACGATCTGAACTTTCCGATCTATTCAATAACCACTTACTCTCACTTTGACAAAATCTATTAAGTTTATTGGAAAATTTTAGTATATTATCTTCCATGTTTTTATTTTTTTCTTTCTATCATTAAATTATACATCGTACTCGACGACAATTTCATCGACAGGGAAAAAAAGTAAAAATATTAATTAATTTATAGCTTTCACTCTCTCTCTCTCTCTCTCTCTCTCTCTCTTTCTCTGTCGGGTATAGACGTAAACTTTCTCCACGAAACCTGTCATGTCTTTCGTAACAAGTCTTTTCATTTTTCGGAATTGGTATATTATACGCGACCTTTTCGAAAATATAAGCCTAAGGAAATAACTGTTACTCGGCGTTCGTAATATTACTTTGTAATATTACGTCGTCCGAGAATGTATATTAAAAAATAAAAATAAAAATAAAAACAAAAACAAAAAAGAGTATATAAATTAAGCAGTAAAAATCTGGAGAGAGGGGGAAAAAAACAAGGGGGAAAAAAAAATAACTATTACCATTTAACGATCTTTCTCTCTAGGAGTAGGAGTCGAGGAGTGAAATGAGGAATAGCAGTGAGGGAGGAAGAGAAGAGGGGGATGGGAAGGGGGAAGGGGGGGGTAGAATTAATCGTGAGGAAACTTAATTAATATTCCAACATCGTGCTACTGAATACGTAGCGGTACACCTATTGAAATTCAAATTCATTTCGTAGGCTAATTAAACTCATCGTGGATCCACCAATAGGTTGTTTTTTTCTTTTTTTTTTCTCTCTCGATAAATTTTATTTGACAATTAAAAATTTAAAAAGAAAAACAAGAAGAGAGAGAGAGAGAGAGAGAAATAGCAGGATCCCTTTAAAAGATAACCACGGTGATTTAGTTAGATGAAGGGTCGTAAAAAAAAATTCTAAGTAAGAAAAAGCATTTTGTCGGAACATCGTGCAACCTCCCCCCACACACCACCCCCCCCCACTCGATATAATACTACTCGTGCATCCTAACGTTTACGGGTCGATAAAGTGAGGATGTGGATGAAACGAGGAGGAGGAGGAGGGGGAAGGGGGATATAAGATAAAATGAAAAGGGAAAAAAAGGAATAAAGGGAGAAAGGCTCGAGGACGAAGCAACGAACAACGAAGGGCACGTCACGCGCAATTAATTTCACACGAGCTCTAGGAACGAACGCTCCATTTGCATCTCCGATTATTAGTTATTGAGTTGAATTAGAGATACTATCTCTAAACTTATAATCATTATAACCTATTAAAACATTAAACATCTATTTTTTGTAATTATCTTTCAAATGTGGAATTTAATCGTATGAGAGATAAACAAATGATCTTAACATCGAAATATTAAAATTAATTGTATCCCTGTAGTAACTGTTGAATTAATCGTACAACACACAATATCACAGCAATTTCAACAATTTGTAATTATGAAAAATAAAAGTATGAGTTATATAATATATTCATTATTCAAAAAAGAAATGTATATAGTTAAATTAATAAATGAGTATTATTTTATCAACTTAGATATAGATTAAAATATCAAATGTTGATTTTGTTACGTTAATTATTGAAACATTTGATTCCCTTTTGTTTTTTAATTAGAATAAAAATCACACAACACGACAGGACACATATTAAACAAATTAGTGTTTAAATCAAGGAAGCATCTCTCAGGATAAAAATTTAATTCCTTTAAGGTGAGTAAAACAACCATAACGTTTTATCACTGTACTCTTCTTGTAGTAGCCCTTTTGGGCTAGCCTGGAAGCATCTGAAAACAGCTGACGAAGAAGCCAGAGTAAAACAGATTTCAAGTTACCAGTTTATCTTATCTACGTGGCATCGGAAATGGTATAGATAATTATTATACCATCGTATATACATAAATGAAAAAAAAGAAAAAGGAAAATAACACGAAGGACTATTCTCGAAGGTGGACTCGAATAATTGCACTTTCCCTGAGGTTAGTCGTGATTCATCTAGAAATTAGTCAGACAATCTTTCATAAGATCCCCGGTATCTTCCTTATGCTACCGATAGATAGCTTTATCTGTTCAATCGTCGAATCGTTGTTGCCACCTTGAAAATGCAAATCTCGCGTCACGATATATCATTTTGAAAAACGAAAAAAAAAAAGAAAAAAAAAAAACTAACAAACACTCGACCAACAAATAATATAAATAAGTGAAGAAACAACAACAAAAAAAAAGTAATAAATAACGATCTTCTCTATCGCAAAAAAATTTGATTATCTTTATTTCTCATCTTTTAAAATGAAAAAACCGAACGCAAGTTTAATAAAGACGATAAATAATTTCCATGCAATACACGTACCGTTATATTCATATTTATATATTTTTGTATATATGTGTGTGTGTGTGTGTACGTAATAAGTATTATCATCTATGACTGTAAAATGTTAGTACGAGTAATTGCCAACTGCCACTTTGCCATCTTGCTAGCAACACAAGGATACATATTATGATACTTCAGTTAATTAAAGAATAGTCGTATTGTGTGCGTGGGTTCTCGATCATTCTTTATCATTTTTTTCCTTTATCATTATTATTATTATTATTATTATTATTATTATTATTATTATTATTATTATTATTATAGCAATGGTAACAACAAAACAATTTTATCCTCTTACAAAGAAAAGAAAAAAGAAATAAAACAATCTAACTTGGTGTATCACGTTATTCAATAACTTAATTCCATATGACGCGATGCATTATATAATAAAATTATATTTATTTTCTTTAGTATAGTATTATATTGAAAAGACATTGAAAAACATATTCGGTATATCGAGTAAGTCGTCGGAGTTACGAAGCAAACCCTTTCCTCTCCCTTTTTCACTTCCCTCATAAACAACGATATATATATATATATATATAAACACACACACACCATATAGCCGTTCATGATACTTCCTATCGTGTAATCTCAGGTACCATCCATCCTGTTTTATTTCTCTGTACAATGGTACACATCCGCGTGCCACTCGAATGCAGAAATAATGGCATCGTTTGAAAACCTAGCTCACAAACTTTAATATAACCGATACGACTACACAACCAGACCAGACCAGACCGAGAACGAGAACAAGAATAAGTATGAATAAGAATAACAATAACGAAGAATTATAGAAGCAAATCGTTTTGAAAGCGTAAACGTTTAATCACGAGATTATATTAAAGTATTGTTAAAATTATTAGAGGTAACCAAAAGTTCATGCGTTTATTTTTTTTCTTTTTTTATTAACACTTTGACATATAATAATGTCTGGGAGACGTCATCCATTTAAGTTTTGTAAAATTTAACATCAAGACGTCAAGAATTGTCTTCGGTGAACAACGCGTGCGCTTGCAGCAATATGTTATTAAATTATTGAATTATTTTACTCTCTCGTTTAAATTATTATCCATTAACATTATATATTAAACTGATTAAATGTTATATACCAACGCAAAATTTCGAAATAAAATATCCTGTATTTTTAAGCTCTTCCACACATTAATATTGTTCAATTGGGATAAATTAAATTCCACAATTCCGTTTTATTTGTATGTTAAGGGGTTAATATTTCGAAAAAAAAAAGAAAAAAGAAAAATACAATCAATCATTGTGCAGAGTTTATAAAACAATTTGTAATAAAATAAACGCAATGATATTATTGATTAATCTTAATATCATTAACGAGATTATCTTCGATAGAAAATTAAATATCATACGAAAAGTAAGAAATTTCGTTGTCGTTTCGTAGTAGTAAAATAATAAAAATAAGAATAAAAAGAATAAGAAGAATAAGGAAAAGAGGAAGAAGAAGAAGAAGAAGAAGAAGAAGAAGAAGAAGAAGAAGAAGAAGAAGAAGGAGGAGTCGACGTGGTATGCCAGGGGCAGAGTCCCATTATCCTGAAACTCCTGAGCTGAGTTTCGTATCTTCATCTCAAAGGAAAGAAGAGGCTCGCGCGTCGGCTTACAGGCAGACGTTGTAATTCACGGTGGACGTGTGTGCACGCGAACAGAACAGAACAGAACAGAACAGAACTGAACTGAAC